TGAGGTAAGGTTTTGCAGTTCCTAATAAAGTTACCTGCCAAATAGAGAGTACTTACCTGGCTAAGGGTGGGGGGAGGAGGGGGAGGGGGAGGAATGGGCATCTTGGATCTCTGTCCGGTGTTTACAGCTGAGAGTATGTGACAATTAAAACTTCATGAAGACAGTTACCTATAGAAACAAAAAATAATTGTCAATCAAACCGATTATAACTTTAACACACACAATATAAAATGTGTGTGTGCAAATATAGGGTTAACTCGGAAGAACTAGGTCATTTTCCCCCATGAAATATGCAGTAAGAACAGTAATATTCTAAAATATTATTACACTTTAAAATAGCTGTTTTCTATTTGAATATATTTAAAATGTAATTATTCATGTGATGTTTCTGCTCAACAAACGTTTCTTAATATTATCAATATTGAAAACAGTTGTGCTGCTTCATATTTTTGTGGAAACTGATATTTTTTGCTCTTCCTGATTCAAAGAAAGTTCAAAAGAAAAGCATTTATTTGAAACAGCAATCTTTTGTAACATTATAAATGCCTTTACTGCCACTTTTGATAAATGTAATGCATCCTTGCTGAATAAAAGTATTAATTTCCACACAAAAAAAACCCCTTATAAAACTGTGGTATATATACAGAATATATACACGATTTCCTAAATCTGACATTCAGAAATCAGTGATTCGTAAGTACTTCACGATTCATAACTGCTGGAAAGTGGTGCGCACATATTATCCAAGTTTATGGTCCAAATAGACAACCCAAATATTTATCATTACAAACAGGCAGACACTGATCCATATTCTTCAGCATTTAATCATAAACCTCTTATTTAAGTCTTATCAGTATTTCTTTCGATACAACGTTGTTGTTTTAGAAAAACAGAATGGAAACCATATTAACTACAATTATTATTACTGTAAAATATATAAATGTATATGGGACGTCCGCATTTCAGATGCCCATGATAGCTAGATTAAAATTAGCAGTTTATTGTAACGTTACTATAAATTAGTGTAGGAACTATGGTAATTCAGATGAAACTAGATTAATATATATAGTATGTAATCATTAAATATCGCTCATCTAATGACATCGAAATGCATGTCTCGTGCTTTATTTGCATATTTATTTGATTGTGAATTAGCTCGACTTTAGCCTTAGCTTAGCTTGGCCTCGCGCTTGGCAGGTGCGTCCATCACGTCAAGACGTTTAGTGAAGAAAATGTTCCGTCGGTCAAACCTGACATAACGTGTTTATGTAATGAAGTAATACAATGTTTGTGCCTACTTTTTTCCCGCAATGTCCGATGTTTTCGCAAACCGGGATCCCCTCATACATGATCTCGTGCGTCAATCGCCCTGATTTGAGGCTCCGCCGTTCAAACCGGAAATTACGTCACTATACGTCTTGGCGTGAAAATGTTTGTTATTGATTTTAAAAGAGCTAGCTTTATTAAATAATTGCACGCAAAGCTGCGAAATTCTGAGTGCTTGGGATTATTCTGTTAGGGTTTCTATTATAACCCTGTTATTTTTGCTAAAATCGTATTATTTTTCGCTAAAATATATTATATTATATCCCTTTTTATAATTATATCTATTTTTATATTATATAAGATTATATTGAACTCCAAGTTTTCTGACCTTGTGAACATGGTCATTTTTGGTGGTAAATCCCATTTACACTCCTTTATTTCTTAATGATTTTGTGAGAATGTTTTGTTTCAAATGCTTTAAAATCAAGCAGACAGATCATTCGCAGATAATTGAATGTAGCCATATTATCATCTTCCCAACATTATGTAACTGAAACTGATATGTTTACATACAAAATGCGTGCATGATAACTCAGTTACAGTTTTGCTTCGCCTATTAAAATATTACCAAAATATCCCCAATAAAACCGATTCTCAAATGCAGATTCTCGTGCATATTTCATTCAAGCAGTGCTATTTTATGATACTGAGGAAGAAAACAGCACGTGTCTTAAATACCAGAAATGCCAAATGCTGACACTTGGTGGTGCTATAAGATGTACTATTTTGATTTCTATGGCTTATTACAGTCATGTGTGCATTAACTGCACAGGAAACACAACACCACATTCTCTGTGGTATTACATGGGCCTACTGTCAGAAGAAAATTATGTTCAACTTACTATGTGTCACAAATGCTTTCTTAGCATTTAGGCTCGACTATGAAAAACAACTTTCACAACATCAAGCTTTCTTTGAATAATATGTTAAATGATGTGTGTGATAAAGGGGGTCATCAAGTAAGATGTGCCAGATAGGCCTTAGGCTGGAGTGTCAGTAGATTATTTGGTCATCTTTGCAAATAATTCACTTTTTGAACTGACTTTTATATATTACAACTGCTTCAACGGAACAGTAAATGCAAGCCTGGATAAGTGGGTCATTCATTGTATGAAGATGGTATCCATAAATGTCTCTCAGTGTTTCAACCTCTAACACTCTGACCAAATGTACTTAACAAATGATCTTTCAATGAGTCAATTAAATTATGACACAAGAACTTTTCATATACAGTGCTAGTATGATTGTAGGTGCTTCACCTTGAATAAAAAAAAGGCAAGGAGCTGAGACAGTTAATATAATTCAGTTTATTTGAAAACAAACAAAAAACACTGTCAAACTAAAAATGTTCAGTAAAAATGCATATTCACTGTGATTTCCCGTTGAGATTCCGTGCATGTTTTTTTGTGTGTTTTTTCTTCTTGCAGGTGAGCATGTTGAAATGATTTACTCTATGATGACAGCATCATCAGGAGTGCAATTATCACTGAATATGCAGGAAAAATCACAAATCTCTCCATGGCATGAAAGATCCCACGTAACTAACCAAATGATCCTGTTTCTCAGACTGAGCTGCCAATCAATAAGGACAACTGCAACATATTTGCTTAAAAGTTAAAGGAATAGTTGACCCCAAAATAAATATTTGCTGACAAATTTACACACCCTCAGGCCATCCAAGATGTAGATGAGCTTGTTTCTTCATCAGAACAGATTTGGAGAAATTCGGTATTACATCACTTGCTCACCAATAAGTGAATGGGTGCCGTCAGAATGAGAGTCCAAACAGCTGATAAAAATTTCACAATAATCCACAAGTAATCCACATAAATCCAGTCCATGTCATATCTTGTGAAGCGAAAATTAGTTTGTAAGAAACAAATCCATCAATAAGGCATTTTTAACTTTAAAAATCGCTTCTGGCCAAAATATGAGTCCATAATCCATAATAACGCTTCCTCCAGTGACTATCCCTTGTTGTCCTCTCACATCAAAATCCACCAAAACATTTGTTTACAACTGTTTCTGCTCATAACCAGTGCTTGATCTGTGCATATTTCTCTCCTGATTCAGACGAGACGACTTTTTCACTGGAGAAAACAATATTATGGATCATGGATTCGTATTTTAGCTGGAAGCAGTGGACTTAAGTTAATGTCTTGATGGATTTGTTTCTTACAAACTTGCAGGTTTTCACTTCACAAGACATTAACTGATGGACTGGAGTGGATTACTAGTGTATTATTGAGATGTTTTTACCAGCTGTTTGGACTCTCATTCTGACGGCACCCATTCACTGCAAAGGATCCATTGGTGAGCAAGTGATGTAGTGCTACATTTCTCAAAATCTGTTCAGATGAAGAAACAAACTCTTGAGCGGCCTGAGGGTGAATAAATATTCAGCCAATTTTTATTTTTGTGTGAACTATTCCTTTAACATGACTGATACTAACACCACTGCTATAAAAGATTTGAGCATAACTGGGGCAACCGTACCAGAATAGTCTTCATGAATATAACCACTATTACTTTTGGCACATACATGTTCCTTATATACCAACAGATGGCAGGCAGATTTGTAATCATGAAGCTAAATTCTCCACTATAGTTAATCATCAATCAGCAATCACACTTCACACCAATTGCAATGCCTTTCAAATGCAGATCCCTTGCATCATAATCAGTCATATGACCACAAAATTCAGCATGTCATTCAAAACAAGATTAGCACATTTATATCTGTCTATATACAATGATGTAAAACAATACCGTTTTTGTATTAAAAATATTTAAAGTCTAAGTGATGTTATATAAAGAGGATATAAGAGAGTGAATACTCTGGAGTAAACAAGTAAAGGATAATGTAGTCGACCAGTCATAATCGTACAATAATTTGACCAATCAGAATAAAGTGTTCCAGAGAGCTGTGTAATAATAATAATAGGGTTATTTTGTATTAAAAAAGTCTAGCTGGAAACTATTTAGGGGTGACTTAAAATTGCAAGGTGGGAAAAGCAATCACTATAATGCTAATCATTCCTTTGTAAAACAGTACACTGTGTTCAATCTTAATGAACAGCAATATACCATCATTCTAGAGCATAATCAAAATAACAAAACTAACTGATTATTGTGCAAAAAAAAAAAAAAAAAATCTAATTCAGGATAATGACATCATGCTCCTTATGAAATGTTCCGTTACAGTAATAGCACTGAATAGCATTTTATAGACTCATTGTATATTAGATTTCTCTACAATATACTACAAAAATGGCCATACATTGTACTTATTTAATTTAGCAACGTTGACATACGTGCAGATGTATGAATCCTACAGTTAATTTTGGATTTACAATGTTGTTGCATGATAGCAGAGTCATTAAAAAATACAGCTAATTTATAATAGAAAATAAATCGACCTATAGCCAACTGTATTTGGACACTTGTATGTGCTTGTTGAGAATTTAATTCCAAAACCACTGGCATTCATTTTTTATTGGTTTATTCGGAATTTGTGTCCAAATACTTTTGTATGTTATAGCTGTGAGTAATGTGTACAGATCTGTCATCCATCAATGCCTGCTAAAATGTCTTTACATGAAATCATACGCCACAAACTTTCTCTTCCAACTGAATATCAGTTTGTCTCTTAAACACAATAAAGAAATCAAGCACAAACAGAAGAAATCCTGCCCTTGGCCTGTTAGAAGAGGTTTGCAGGACAACATATCAATGTCAACAAATGTCATCTTATAATAGTGAGATTATGAAAATACAAACGAGTTTCTGTTTTTAGATGTAGGTTTTGTTGTTGCTTTTGTTTATTTTCTACTCAGTAGCAATGCCTCAGAGCCACAAATACACAGAACGCAAAGGAAAACGAACCCTCGTGTGGCTGAGCCGCTAACTAGCTATGCTACATTTCTAGGACGGAGTTGTCTGGACATCTTTGGACAAACAATATAAAGTACACAATGTACATGTTATGATTACATGCTTATCGCGTCACCACACTTTTAGGCTTTGTCACTCTGTTAGTAGCACAAGATAACAAGATGAGTTAGGCAGTGCTTAGAGTTCACGTCACAAACAGACCGGTGGTGAACTAAAGCAAGTCGTGTGTTTTGTTCTTCTTTCGTTCGAGCACTGCACAGTTCAAGCCCTGCTCCGTGTTTTTTTGCAGGGAACAAACTGATTTGTAGTCTCCATCTTCATCATCCACTTCATTTGACCTGAAGACTGAGAAGAACATCTTTGTTGTGATTTTTTTTCATTTCATTCAGGAATCACATGTTCAGAAAATAAACATCTTAAGAACGAGATAATCCACCACTAGAGACTCTGAATTGGAGGTCGGGGAAGCGTGTGCAAGCTAACCTGCTGGCAGTGTTGTTAAAGAGGATTTGGGTACACCTGTCGAGGGTCATAGGTCATTTCTGGCATGTATTGCTCATGTAGCTCAGCGTCCAGCGGGAGGCCATCCATGGGTAAATCAGAGTAACCATATGGAGGGTAAACTGCATCCAGATCTTAGAGAGAGAGATCAATTAAAGTTACAGTAATTATGCCATCATTGCCTTAATTAGAAATTCTGTAAAAGAATAAAAACATCTACTTCAAGCAATTTGATATAATGGAGGACCCTTGACATTGATCGAGGGCTGGTTAATGAAGTGTAAGTGACCGAGGGGGATTTCAGATGAACTAATTCAATGAATCCAATTGCCACACTTGTTAATACACCAACATTCAAGCAGAAACACACACACACCCCTGAGGCCAGAGCAGAATCGCCTGAAGAATCAGATGGAAAAACACCCTTACCCTCAAACTTCATATGTCATATTTATAATAGTACATGGAAAATGATGTTTGTTTTGTACGAGACAAAATATTACAGCTGTATTATTTTCAGTAGATTTTTTATAGACAGTCCAAGACCTGCAGGGAACAAAACATTCTTATTTTGAAGTGAAAATGTCAAGTTAGACTAATAAAGTCAGGCGTATGGTTGACGTGTTATTTTTACATGTACTATAATTTATTATTTAATCATTCCATGAAACAGCCTCTTCATTATTCATCATAAAACAATAATTTACTGAACATCATTCTTACATTCTCATTCTGAATTAGTTTATAGTCTATTGCTATCATGACATATAATTTAAAGACTACATTTTCCATACAGATGTATTTATTTTAGACTTTCATTGTGAGTGCCTTTTTTTCAAAGTGTTTTTTTTGCTAATTTTTACAAAACATATTTTATGGCTGAACAGTATCAGTGTGTAACAGGATCAAACAGGTCGATCTGGTTTCAGTGGGTTGTTTTTTATTTCCAATTTCGACAAACGAGTGAACAGCACATTGTATACTTAACGTTTCCTCACTGAGGAACACAGTATTCTGTCAGTTCACGGGAAGGACTGACAATCAAACCGCTCTTGCGCTTGATAAATGTGAATTCAATGACTGTCTCTCTTTATCTTTTCGTCTTTGACCCTTCTCTCACACGCATACGCATGCCATAACTCATTTGTCATGTGGCATTTTATTGTAAAGCTCTTCACTCTAATGCAGCGAGATGTGCCGGATAAATAGGCAATTTGCGGTGGTGTTGTGTACTAAAGCAGAAAGATGTGCTGGGCTGTCGACTGTGCTCTCAACTCACCATCTGGTATATATCCAGGGTCGAGTGGCATGGCGGCATGTGCCTGAAAGAATATGAATGCAAACACATTCATTAAAAGCTTCTTTCATAACAAACAAAAATATGATACCATTGAAATATCGGGAAATATCAACTTGAGCAGCAAATCAGCATATTAGAATGATTTCCGAAGGATCATGTGACACTGAAGACTGGAGTAATGATGCTGAGAATTCAGCTTTGCATCACAGGAATAAATGACATTTTAAAATATTCAAATAGAAAACAGCTATTTTAAATGGTAATAATATTTCACAATATTACTGATTTTACTGATCAAATAAATGCTGTGGTCAACAATTCACTTTCATTAGGACATATCCATCTCCTTTACATATACGTCGTCTCCTATCCATCTCATTTACATTTGCAACTGTTTATAGTATTACACAGTGGCCCCAAAAAGTATTTCTAATGTTTTGGACAAGTCACACACAAGAAGATTTGAATGTTATTGCATTAGAAAAATATCAAACCAAGTTGTATCTGCAAACATGACAGTTCTTATGATAACTAACATCGCTTTTCTGAGCCATTTTTCCAGATCTACACACCAAAAATGCCTAAAAAGATCCATGTGCATGTGACAATCATATAACCGTTTGCAGTATAAGAAACCTAATTGACACCGACACACTGAATTATTGAAGAAGAAGAAGAAAAAAAAAGCACACTGTTTCACATCAGGGTTGAATTACCAATTGGGTTTGCATTCATTTTCAATAATTGAAAGGTATGTCGTCAATTATGCCATATCAATATAATTATTTCATCATGATTGCTAAAAATTGATACCGCATACACAATTCGAAATGATCTCATTAATAATAATGTGCACTGTGCTGGAGTGCTGTGTGACTCCTGAATAAATATATTCACCATTTCCCAAGCTGCAGGGTCATGTTTGAAGAGGGAATGGGTGAGCTCCACCGACACACGCTTCCTGTAGTCTGAACTCTTGTCCTCAGAGATGCGGAAGAGAACAGCTGCAGCATAGGTGGCTGAAGAAGAGAGAATGATTATCACCAGATTTTTGGATGTATGATATGATACATGATAATTATTTACATTTTATTATGGATTATTATTATTATGTAATTTTTATAATGCATGAAATATATTTACTGAATAAAAGTGGAAAGAAAATAATAATAAATAATAAATAAATAAATAATTACATTGATAACATATGACAAATAAAAAGGTAAAAAATGACAGTAAATACTTTTACGCTGTTACAAAAGATTTATATTTTAAGTAAATGCTGTTCTTTAGAACTTTCTTTTCATCAAAGAATTCTGAAAAAAAATTACATTTCATAATGTAACACACACACACACATACACACACACACACACACACACACA